AATACGGGCAGAGTCAAGACAGAAAGAGACACACAGCCCAAGCTCTCCAGTTTTCCTTTATGACTCACCTGTTTGAACCTCAAGGGGCTAAAGAGAATGCTGACAAATGAAGAAAAATAAGATGGGAAGATTTAATTTCACACCCCTCATCTTACGCCTCTTATACCTTAGTATATTTGCTCTAAAATGCTGCCCATCAACCCAGAAACTTTGCATGCTTGCTCAAGTGCCTTTGTTCATATGGCCCATGGCTTTGACCATTGGTGCCCAAAGACTGAGCTATAAGAAAAGAGGAAAGGGCATGTATGCATGGATGGGTTCCCGCAGCGTACGTGCGAGCACCAGTCATTATGAACCACCCAGCTGGCTCTCTGATGGGCCCCACTACACTGCCCATCCTAGAGGCCTAAGGGTGTGGACTCAGGAGAGGCAGGAAACTCAATCTCATTATTCATATCCTCAGAAAGAGTGTGGGTACCATATATAAAAGGACCAAAATGATTACAAATAGGATAAAGAACTATAGGCAAATAATATTTTAAAGGCTTAAAAAGCAGGAAATGTGTACTTGTTTGGTAATACTATAGAAATTGCCTTTAAAAAAAATCTGTAAACTAGGCTGTAGGTTCTGTGAGGTTAGGGTACTGAAATCTGTCACTGCAATGCCCAGCCAATAGCAGGCATTCAATAAATCATCCTTGACTGAACAAATGTTAAGCTTTTGTTGAATGCCTACCACATTCCAGACACAGAGTAAATTAAAATACCCCTTGAAAACAATCTAGAATTGATTCAGAATGAGCAGCATAAAATTTATTTACTTAAAAACTTCGTTAAGAGTTAAAAATTATAAAGAGCATGGGTATAAAGAAATGGCACAGATTTTACAATCACCCTTGAAAAGTAGCCATCTGGTCTCTTCAATAAATAGTGCTGGGAAAGCTTGACCACTGTCTAACACAATATCCCTCCTAATTAAATATGGATTAAAGACTTGAATGTAAGGCCCGAAACCTTAAACGTTCTAGAAGAAAACATTGGTGGTAAGTTCCTTGACACTGGTATTGGTGATAAATTTTGAGATATGACACCAAAAGCAAAGGCAACAAAAGCAGAAATAAATGAGGGGCTGCATCAAACTAAAAGCTTCTGCAGAGCAAAGCGAACCATCAATAAAATGAAAAGGAAACCTACCAAATGGGAGAAAATATTTGCAAGTCATATATTTGATAAGGGTTTAACACCCCAAATATAAAAAGGACTTACACAACTCATTAGCAAAAAAAAAAAGCATTATGATTTAAAAATGGGCAGAAGGGACTTTCCTCATGGTCCAATGATTAGGAGTAGTGTAGGTGACATGGGTCTGATCCCTGGCCCAGGAAGATTCCACATGCTGCAGAGCAAATAGACTGATGGTCTCCATGGGTTGGGGATGGAGGAATGGGTGATGGTGGTCAAAGGTACCAATTTCCAGTTATAAGATGAAAAATTTCTGGTGATCTAATGTACAGTATGGTGGCTACAGTTAATAATACTATACTATGTATAGTATTCTCACTAAACACAAAGTATGAAGTGATATATATATGATATATATATGATATACATATGATACATATATGAAGTGATAGATATATTAATTAATTTTATCATGGTAATATTTTACAATATATATATGTATCAAGTCTTCACATTGTACACCTTAAACTTACACAATGTTAGATGTCAATTATATCTCAATAAAGTTGGGAATAAAATAGTCCAGCAAAAAAAAAAATGTTCATTGACAACGAGTGATTGAGACCTGATTTTCAACTTAGAGGGGTGAGATGAGGTGGAAGGTGGGAAGGAGGTTCAAGAGGGAGCGGACGTATGTGTACCTATGGCTGATTCATTTGATGTATGGTAGAAACCAACACATTATCATAAAGCAATTATCTTTCAATTAAAAGAAAGACCTGTCAGGGGCAGAGATCAGGCATGGAGGAGGGCAGGGACTTACAGAGAGGCCAGTCCTGCTCTCGGATTCAGGTGTGACATAAGTTAAAGGGAGGAAGTGGCCTGTTTGGACTTTGCTGGGGGTTGAGCCAGGACCCAGGCCCCTCACAGGCGGAAGTAAGTCCCCAGGAGGAGGAACCTGACCAGAGTGCTTCACGTTGCTGCCTGGAGAATGGACCAGACCCCAGAGCGTACGCTTAGCCTCTGGTCAAGGGAATGCTCAGGGACATCTCTGGCCTTGCTTTAGAGTGGCCCTCCACATTAGAGGGGGCCCACAGGCAAAGGAGAACCCTGAGACCCCTCTGTCCTGGAATGAAAGTCCTCTTGAAGTGGGTGGCGTAGTTAACATGATTTCAGAGAAGGAAAGTACACACTAAGAATTCAGGGACTTCTCTGGCCGTCCAGTGATTAAGAATCTGCCTTCCAACGCTGGGGACGTGGGTTTTATCCCTGGTCAGGAAATAAGATCCCACATGGAGCAGGGAAACTGATGGGCCCACGCTCTGGAGCCTGCGTGTCACAACTAGAGAGAGAAGCCCACATGCCACAAGGTAAGATCCCGTGTATGGCAACTAAGACCCAGACACAGCCAAAAATAAATAAATAAATATTAAAAAAAAAAAAAAAATTCAGGGACTTCTCTGGCCGTCCAGTGATTAAGAATCTGCCTTCCAACGCTGGGGACGTGGGTTTTATCCCTGGTCAGGAAATAAGATCCCACGTGGAGCGGGGCAACTGATGGGCCCACGCTCTGGAGCCTGCATGTCACAACTAGAGAGAGAAGCCCGCATGCCACAAGGTAAGATCCCGTGTATGGCAACTAAGACCCATACACAGCCAAAAATAAATAAATAAATATTAAAAAAAAAAAAAAAAGAATCCACTCACATGCCAAGACCTCTGAGTGAGAGGCTGCTGAGCTGGGATATAAATTCCTACTGCCCCGCTCTTAGCCACACTGCCTTCTACAGCCTCCCTAACTCCAGGGTTCTAAATCTCAATTCCCTTTGCTGAAAAAGCAGAACAGATTCCTAGCTCACAGTCACTGGGGATATTAAACAACATGGTGTGCATCAGAGCCCAGCATCCAGCAAGCTGGCGGGAACCAACGGGGTTCAGCAGTGCTGCGCTCCTTCCCTGTCTCAGCTTCTCACGTCAGGCCTTCAGTTCTCACCCATGATAAGCATCTTAAAGGACTTTCCATGGTTCTGCTGAAGTTCTAGAATAAACTATTTGGACCAATGAAAAAGTGATCTGTAACTTGGAAAAGCTACCTCATTCTCTGGCCTGTTGTTGGTAGGATGTTACTCTTCAGGTTTGCCTGGAAGACTTAATGGGAGGATAAAGAAGAGGATAAAGCCCAGTGTCCACCTTGGGCTTCCCAGGTGGTTCTAGTGGTAAAGAACTCGACTGCCAATGCAGGAGAACTAAGAGATGCTGGTACAATCCCTGGGTCGGGAAGATCCCCTGGAGAAGGAAATGGCAACCCACTCTAGTATTCTTGCCTAGAAAATCCCATGGACAGAGAAGCCTGGGCGGGCTACAGTCCCTGGGGTCCCCAAAAGTCGGACACAACTAAAAGTGACTTAGCACAACATACAAAGGACAGGAAGCGAGGAGAGAGCCCAGGGCCGACCTATGACAGACATGCGTGGGACTTCCACCTCCCTCCACCTTCCCTCCACCCTGAGGACCAGGCAGCAGGAATGCTGTTTTGGTTTAACTAAAATAAGAGAATTAGGAGGATTACTTTCCAACTAAAATGAGAGACTGCTGAAAGAACTTAAGATGGTTAGTCCAAAGAGTTTAGGGGAACCTGGCTAACTGGGTGCTGGCACCTGTTTAAAATCAGGGCTTCTTGGGGATCAAGAGTTGCCCAAACCACTTCCATTTGATGAGGTTTCTGGTGTATTAAGGGGAAAAAAGTTTTGTATTTGTTTTTTTAAGGAAAAATATTTAGTATTTAAAAAAATACTAAAGTGGTATTGCAAATACTATGGCATTTCTTAAGTATTATCTTTAATAAATGTTAATACAAAATACTGAACCTAATACAAATGTTCTAGTCATAGGGTAATTACTTGTTGTTTAGTCGCTAAGTCATGTCCTACTCTTTTGTGACCTCATGGACTGTAGCCCACCAGGCTCCTCTGCCCATGGAATCTTGGTACTCTTGCAAGAGTACTGGAATGGGTCGCCATTTCCTCCTCCAGGGGACCTTCCCCACCCAGGGATCAAACCCACCTCTCCTGGGTCTCCTACCTTGGCAGGCAGATTCTTTACCACTGAGTCACCTGGGAAGCCCAGGGTAATTACTAGATGTAGGCATATGTTGAAAATCTTAATTCACAGTGTACTGCAGGCAATGTTGGCTGGCAATGGGACACAATGTTTTTCAATCCTATCAGGACACTGACTTGCAAAAAAAAAAAAAAATAGTGAACATTTGGAGTCTGAGGGTGGGTCTGCGTGTGACCTGTCTCTATCATGATGGACCCAGTGGAAGGGAGCCTGGACATTCTGCTGGCCACAGAGATCAGAATGCTGCCCTGGAGCCCACACTTGGAGAAAACCGGGTTCTACTGGGCTGTGCATCCCCCAGCCCCTAACCCCAGCAAGGAGCCTGAGATGCCATGGTGGGGTGGGGAGTAGTTAGTTAGTGAGTTACGCATTTGGCAGGTGCACACGACATCCATGCCGCTGAGCAATGATTTGTCACTTTCGTGGGTCCAAGGAACCCTCTGAAAGTCAGATGAAACCCAGGACCTTCTCAGAAGAATTCCATTGCCCCACCCGTCCACGCACATTTTTCGCTAAAGAGACCCGGGAGTCCACAAACCCCAGGGTGAAGCCTCTGGCCCAAGGCGCGGGCACTGGCATTTTCTAGCGTCTATCTTGAATTCTGTCCCTGGCCCCGCGGAGCACCCGGAGCCCCGCCTGGGGCGCAGACTGGCTGTGGGGCGTGGACGGTAGCCGCGCTTCACCTCCTTCCCTTCCAGGGACCCGAGCGGTCCAGTCGGAGCGGGGCGGGGACCAGGAGGCGGGCCGCACCTGGGGACACCCGAGGCGAGCGGACCGCGGGGCCCGCCGCTGCACCCGTCGCCGCGGGGCTCAGAGCCCAGGGCCGCGCCGCCGCCGCCGCGGGCCGGGTTCCCAGCGCCGCCCCAGCCATGAAGATGCATTTCTGCATCCCGGTGTCCCAGCAGCGGCCCGACGCGCTGGGGGGCCGCTACGTGGTGCGCCGGGGGGGTCGGGGTGAGACTGGGCAGGGACAAGGCGGGGGCGGGGGTTCACCTCACTCAGCTGATTCGGACTCTGATGTCTGTTTGCAGCTGTATTCCGTGTACCTGGACGGCTTTCTGTTCTGCAAGGTGCGTTACAGCCAGCTGCATCGTTGGAATGAACAGGTGAGCGGACCCAGGCGGGTCCCAGCCGGCCCACCCGACTCCAGTGCTGCGGTGGACTCTGGGTGCTTAACTCTGACAAGACACCGCACTTCCTGAGCGCTTTGGACTTCTAATCCGGGTCGTGGTAACTGGTTAATCTGAACTGCTTGGCATACAGCTCACTGACACGTTACCTGGTGTAATCACCTATAGCTGTGAGGTGAGGTGCGGTGCGAGGTAGGTAATTAATTATCCAACCCACCCCAGCTCAGCGATCCCCACCAGCCCAACCTGGGCTCCATTTCAATGCCAGCTGTTTTCCCAAGACAATATCCTTGTGCAAAATGAGCAAACCAAGTCTAGATCAAGGTGTAGTCTTCAGTCTCTGGTATGTGAGTATTGGGCTTCCCTGGTGGCTCAGATGGCAAAGAGTCTGCCTGTGATGCAGGAGACCCAGGTTCGATCCCTGGGTTGAAAAGATCCCATGGAGAAGGGAATGGCAAGCCATACCAGTATTCTTGCCTGGAGATTTCCATGGACAGAGGAGCCTGGCGGGCTGCAATCCATGGGGTTGCAAAGAGTTGGACACGACTGAGTGACTAACACTTTCTTTCTCACAGAGTTTAATTTTCTCCCCTTTGAAACGGTGTGTCTCTATTTTTGTTTTCAAAGGAAGGTACTCATAGGCTTCAAATATGGGCAGACTGGAAACCCAGGAAACAGAGGAATTATTCAATTAGAAGGCCATTTTCAACTCTAGTTTCTCACTCTGATGTCCTGATGACACTTTCAGCATGAAGACTGATTTATTAACCAGGCCTAATGGGTTTTGTTTTCCTAACAAGGAAGTATTGCAAGTCATCAAAGTGGGTTAAAGGAGTACATGGAAGTTTGGAAATGAACTTCACTTTTCTCCCACCTTCATGCACAGTTTTTGCTTGTTTGTTTGTTTTTTAAGATTTTATATCCCAATTATAAAAAACACATACCTAAAGTTAGAAAGAGAAAAGGGAAAAAGTAAAAAGCTTGCCTCGGCAATAGATATTAACATTTTGGGGAGAGTCCTTTCAGATAATCTCTGGTTTCTAGTGAGCAAATAAATCATATTTTCTTTAAGACCATTTCCTGTTGATGGACAGCTCAGTTCCATTATTATACTATTATAAAAACATCACTGAATTGAGCCTTCTTCCTCATACATTCCGGTGTGTTGGAAAAGTCCATTTTCAAGGTATGACTAAGTTTCTCTGGATTCAGTGAATACAGGTGCAATGTGGTTGTTGCTTTTTGTGGTCATTTTTGAATTGCTAGCACCTAACACAGTGCCTGTGACCCAGCAGGTCCTCAGAAATGACTGTCAGTGGCTAAATAAAAAGGGCATGGGTTCAGACTTCTGCAGGATGACAAGCTACTTGTGACCGAAATCTGCCTGGGGAGTTGGGAGGACTACAGATGGGGATCTTGGAGGAAGAGACAGTAGAGTTGGTTTAGGCAGTTGTAGGATGAACGTAAGGGTCACCTCCCACCCTCATCTGCCTCCCTGCATGTGAGGTCAGGTTGGGGAGGTGGCCATCACAGGTAAAAGGCAGAAGTCGGCAGAGAGGAGAAGGGAGAGATGGACTGACCACTTCCTGGCTGGACACCTCACCTCTTCTCTGACCTTCAATTTTCTCCTCAGAAATGATCAGGTCGGTGACTATGGATGTCAGCTTCACAAGGCTCTTGTGAAGATTAGAGTCCAGGTTCTCAGAGAACCTGGCGCATAATTTACGTGCTCGGTAAATATTTACTGACTCAGAGGCTTGCCAAGCCCTCCTTAACCAACAGACTCAGAAAAATGCTTGTTTTCAGAAAAATTCGGACCTTTCAAATTCTAGCAGGCCCTGAAGCAGAAACATAAAGCCAATTCTGATCGCCACAAAGATCTGCCTTTTGTAGAGCATATGATGGATATTAGTGAATACTTCGTATTTGTTTTTCAAAATTCTAAAGTGAGGATTTCTTTATCCATTTTCCAACCATCTTACATGTATCATTGTTTCCTTTTTCTGTAGGAACAGTTCCTTTTAAATAAACTATTTAGATCTTAGGAGGTGGCTATTGGTATTATTACTTTAGAACAATAACTAGCAGTTACTCTGTGCTAAGGTTGGTGCCAAGAGCTTTATATGTAATATTGTGTTTAATTTTTTAACAGTCTTATGAGCTAGGATTATAATTAGCCCCATTTAACGTATGAGAAAACTGAGGTACACCTTGCCCAAGGTCGTACCGCTCCAAGTGTTGGAGCCAAGATTTGATTTCTGGAACCTGTTCTAACCATTTTGTGGTTCCTAATCAAAGTTGGCAAAATATCAGAAAAACAACTGCATCCTAAGCTAACATTTTTTTTTTTACTTTATTTAAGCATAGCATAATAAAATTCCCCAATTGTGTGTGTCTAGTGTGATGAATTATAAATATATAAATATATTTAATTATATATATATTTAATTATAAATATATTTAATCTACCGCCACCATAATCAAGACAGAGAACAGTTTCCACACTCATAATGTTTCCTTGTCCCCTTTGCCCTTAATCCCCTCCCTCCACCTCAAGTCCCAGACAACAACATCTGCTTTCTGTCCTTAGAGTTCCTGGCACAAGATTTTATTCCACCTGCCCTCTTGGGTGGTGGAATATAGGTGCAATGCCCCATAAGGTTGGCATTGCAATCGTTATCATTACTCCCATTTTATAGATGAAAAGTCCAAGTAAGTTTGCTAGATTTAGCAAATAAAAATATAGGATCCTCAGTTAAATGTGAATTTCAGATAAATAATAAACACTTGTCTAGTATATCTCCTGCAATATTTGAGACACTGTTAACTGGGCATCCTCTATTTTATCTGGCAACCCTAAGTCAGAGATCAAAAGGTTGGCTGACTTCCCCCAACCTCTTCTCAGCTAGTTTTTATTCTTCCTGCTCCATGGAAGATGTGAAATGGCTAAGAATTCTTAATCTGATTTAATATTAATACTGAATAAATAAAAAAGAGACAGTATAAAGTCCCCATCTGTGTTTATGAATGTGTGTGTCATGTGTATGTTTGGTGAGTAGAAGTTTATTTCCAATTAAGTTCTGCATCACAATAGAACAGAAATCTCATCTTAATAGAATTAACTGATTTACTCATTTACTTAAGAATATTTACTAAGTACCTATTAAATGCCAAGCACTATGTTAAATTAAGTGAAGACTCTGACTTTTAGCACATGTGCTTTTTGGATTTACGATTTGGATTTCTATTTTGTATATTGGTGGAGTGGAAGCCGCTCAGTTATGTCTGACTGTTTGTGACACCGTGGACGGTAGCCCACCAGACTCCTCGGTCCGTGGAATTCTCCAGCAAGAATATTGGAGTGGGTAGTCATTCCCTTCTCCAGGGGATCTTCCCAACCCAGGGATCAAACCCAGGTCTCCTGCACTGCAGGCAGATTCCTTATCATCTGAGCCCCCAGGGAAGCCTTCTGCAATTGAGAAGCAGAACCTGACTGAGGTGACGTGGTCCCTGCCCCTTCTATGGGAGGCTAACGCATATAAGACTGACCTGAGGAAAGATGGTTGTGTTTCCCAGAGGTCAGCTGTGACCCATGCTCTCTGAAGTCATGGCCGGCAGCCCGGTTCCCACGGAGGCTCTCAAGTTCTGGCAGCTTCCCTTCCACTGCTGAGTGTTATCCGTCTCTCTGCCACAGGAACTGCCTGACCTGACTGCTTTCTGTGCCTTTAAATGAATAAAATCGGTTTGATCTATGCCCTTGCCTATACCACCTCCCTCAAGGGGAGTTAAATCTGTGAAAGAAACCTTTAATTGGCTCATTTTGGCCATCCTGTGTAAATGAGGCTGGACTCCGTGGAAAGGATGTTTGCCTCTTTGAAAACGCCCTGCTGGCATCAGTCATAGCAGTGCTGACAAGCCTTGCAAACGATCCTCTGCGAGAGGAGGGCTCCACACTGGTTCAGTCTCCTTCCCTGCCAGGTGCTGACTCAGTCTGGCTCCTTCCCTTCTTTTACCTGATATTTCTTCTTTTCCCGAGTCAGACCGTCTGTTCTCATGAGCTGGCCCGTTGCCACTCCCTGGCTCACTTCCCCCTCCTGAGAAGGCCTCTGCCTACTGGGCTGTGGGTTAGAGACCAGCCTTTCTCAAGGGTCACCTCAAGCCCCACCTCCTCTAGGAAGTCCCCCTTAATTGCATAAGATGCCTTCTCTGATTCCTGTGCCACTTTGTGTTTAGACCTTGTCACTTTCCCCTTATTTGTGTGAAGATTTTGTTTCCCCTCTTTATTTAGTTGAGAAGCCCAGATACTTAAATGAAGGAATGAATGAAGGCTGTAGACGTAGCATATCCAGCACAGAATCCTGTTTTAGGAGAGGCTGAAGAGAGATTTGATGGAGGAGGAGGATGGGAGGAAAAGAGGGCAAGGAGAAGGAAAAAGTGGTGAAAAGAGTGTGTCCAAGTTCTGCTGCTCATTCATCTTGATTTGAGTCGCTTCAGCTGCTTGAGTTACACATTGGCCACCAACCTTGTCAAGGAGGGAGGATGACAGGGCTCATGGCCATGATGATCACCAACTTCACAGGACTGCACTGAGGAAGAAATGGGAAAATACACAAGACTAATGTTCTTTGGTACAAAATACCACAGTCCAGGTTGATTTGAGCTTGTGACCCTTTATCTGGACAATCTGAGATTTTTAATACAAGGGCCTTGGAAGGTGGGATGACTGAGTCAATATCGGAAACAGAGACTATCAAGAGGACAGTGTTGTGACCGTAATTCCACTTGTCCCAGGTCACCGCCGAGGGATAGAAATAGGGGGCAGGAAGTGCATATGATCAAATGCACAAGATAAAACGTCACAAGCTCAAAGCAGCCTGGACTGTGATATTTTGTACCAAAGAATATTAGTCTTGTATATTTTCCCATTTCTTCTTCAATACAGTCCTGTGAGATAGGTGATCATCATGGCCATTAAC